TATCCCTATATTAACTAATTTAATTTTGTCACTACACAATGTGTATATTTCAAATGCTGTACAACATAAATTCCTGTGCTTTTAATTGTCATTTAAAATATAAATGATAATAAGAAGGAAATAAAAAATAATTCAGTAGCTATCAAGGTTTTCTGGAAGAATTTATAAATAGTTAAATGCTAGGCATTATGAAACTATCATTATCTAATATTTTTCTCAATAACAAAAACAAAAATAATGCCTATTAATTAAAAAATATATATGGCTGTTTTACATAGAAATTTAGGGAGTCTGATACAATGCAAATAGTAATATGAACAAGATTACCAAATTTAAAATTTGTTTCTATCATAGTTTGTTTTATAATAAAAATATTGTTTAAGCTTGTCTGTAAGAATTAATTAAGGTGATTTCAGAATTTTTGTGAAAAACTGTCAACTTGGTTTAAAATAGCCAATAAAAAACAGAGCTGCCATTAGGGAGTTAGAAATGTTTCTCTTCGAGATATTCCAGGGCACATGGCCATCACACCCAATTTAGAGCATGTCTTATGAAAGACCTTATAATGAAGGTCCTTCCTGAAGGCCTGAACCCATTAGTCTTTCTAGTATTGGATGTCCATATCTGTTAAAGACATACAGTTTACTTTGGTATACCATTTACTTGATATATTGAATCTTTGGCTCCATAGTTCTCTTATTTTTCACAATTAAAAATTAATTTTTATGATTTTTTATTTTTTTATTTTATTTTTTGTGATGTTTTAATCTTATAGAAATAGAAGACAAAACATTCCAGAAACTAAATCTTATTCCAATTCAATGAGTACATATGAACCCTGTTTTGAGTGCTTCTTTAATTTTGTGTACTTTTTGTGAGTCTTACCAACAATAAATTTAGTTTTGAAAATTGGTATTCTTGAATTTCAGAGACCCAGTAACTTTTCATTTTGAGTCAAGCATTAGAAAGTTAAATTAGAATTCATCTAATCTTCCCAGAGGGAGGGGAAAATAGAGGATATGGGGGCAGGAAAAGACAGTGGAATGAGATGGACATCACTTTAAGTACATATATGCAGAGATGAATGGTGTGACTCTACTTTGTGTACAACCAAAGATATGAAAAATTGTGTTCTATATGTGTAATATGAATTGTAATGCATTTTCTGTCATATATAATGAATTAAAATTTAAAAAAAACAGTTAAATTAGAAGAGGGCTACTGATACATTACATGCTATAAATGAATGTATTGCAGGGATATGAATTAATAGTGAAATATTTGTTTTTTCAGTCTTCTGAGAATCTCCTTATTTGGCCATAATTATTTCTTCTGAAATCAAACAATAGATTTTGATCATACTCACTGGAAAGAAAAGAAAGAATGATAAATCACATTCTATCAGTCAAAAAAATGGTAGAACTGAAAACGTGTTAGTATATACATTTATTTAAAAAAAAAAACCTACCAGCCTATAAAACAAATTTCGTTCCATGATGCTTTAAAAAGTAAATGTCCATTAATTGCCAAAATTTGATAGTTCATAAAATTCATATAAAATACTTAAATATCCTTTGTCAGTTGGAAATATCACACTGGGCTTCAATTATTTCATAATACTTATGCAGTGTCCCATTCCTTAGTTTCATTCTCCCTATTCATTTATACCCAGCCCACATTATTTCATTTGGTTTTGATTCTGCCTCCTCTGTTCATCTGACCTTATAGCCCTGATTTACACCAACTCCTTCATTTTACATTCAAATTATATGTGACTCCAAGTAGAGTATGTAATTTGCCCAATAATGTAAGTGATACTTTCCAGGGCATAAAACAATAATAAAATAGGTCTTCCTGGCAATAAATAGAAAAGAATTGAGATTTTGCAATCTAATGTTCATTATCAGAGAGGTTCATTTAATTCTAGCTAGGAGAAAATTGCGTTTTTATAGTATGTTTTTATTCTCATAAAAAGAAGTGTGCTGCAACAATTAAGACAAGGGTTAATGAGAAGATATTTTGTCTAGAAGTAAATCTGTTTTAAATATTCACTAACAAATAGAAATATAAATGCTCTTAGTGGTATGCATAGGATTTAAATGCCTTCTAAATTATGCCAGTTTCTTCACCCCATGATAATATTTGCATCCTCATTTTGAAGTTAGGATAAAAAATGAACACAAAATATTATTTTTAATATTTGAAAAATGAGATGGAAATTTTACGTTAAAGATAAAAGATTATTAGCAGTCATATTATATATATAAATATTTGTATATATATTATTAAGATTAAAAAAGAGGTTAACTATAGAATATATCAAACTTAGCTCATCTCACTAACAAAATAAGCAAGTAATATCTACTTCCTCAAAAAAGAAATTCAGTTTTTCAAAAATTTTCCAATCTATGACTATAACCCATCTGATTTCAAAAAGTTTTCTTACATCCAATTTCTTTTTTATATAAAAATTTTAATATATATATATATATATGACAGCATAATGCCTTACAATTTTTATTATATAGAGAGAGCACAATTTTTAATATCTATGGTTGTATGCATAGTATATTCACACCAATTCGTGTCTTCATACATGTACTTTAGATAGTAATGATCATCACATTCCACCCTCATTAATAACCCTATGCCCCCTCCCTCCCCCTCCAACCCCTCTGCCCTATCTAGAGTTCCTCTATTCCTCCCATGCTCCCATTCCCTATCCCACTATGAGTCAATGTTTATAGCAGCACAATTCACAATAGCTAAACTGTGGGACCAAACTAGATGCCCTTCAAAAGATAAATGGATAGAAAAAAATGTTGTATATATACACAATGGAATATTACTCAGCAATAAAACAGAATAAAATCATAGCATTTGCAATTAAATGGATGCAGTTAGAGAGATAATGCTAAGTGAAGTTAGCCAATCCCAAAAAACCAATGCCTAATGTTTTCTTTGACATAAGGAGGCTGATTCATAGTGGGATAGGGAGAAGGAGCATGGGGGAAATAGAGGAACTCTACATAGGGCAGTTGGGTTGGAAGGGAAGGGAGGTGCATGGGGTTATTAATAATGGTGGAATGTGATGATCATTATTTTCCAAAGTAGAGGTATAAAGACATGAATTGGTGTGAATATACTGTATACAACCAGAGATATGAAAAATTGTGCTTTATATGTGTAATAAGAATTGTAATGCATTCCACTGTCATATATAAAAAAAAGATTGAGGCCACAGGTTAATCTTACGGAAATCAGATGGGATAGAAAAAAAGATGAAGAAATGTTGCGAGGACCTATACTTAACCCTTTTTTAAATCTATCAAAAATGGATGACATTAAATTATTGTGAATTATAGAGAATAATTGCTTGGTATAAATTTATGAAGATAGTTATGATAGCCTACTTATGATTACCAATTTATAAAATAATATTTTGAAAATTAAATAAGGTATTAATGAATATTTTTGAAGTCATATAGATACCAAATTACTAGAGAAATAATATGTCTACAGTTAAGCAAAATAAGTGAATTAAAAGGAAATGTGAATTTTGTTATGCTATCCATTCAAATACTTTGATATAGTTAAAAATTTATAGTAGATCAGGATTAGGATAAGAAAAAAATCATATGAAGCCCATATGCTTAAATATGAACACAAGAGCAACATTTTATTTCAAAAATTTGAGTTAGCAAATGCATGTAACTATTGGTTTCAGTCCAGAAGTTACTTTGGAAATTGAAACTAATTTTGTATGTAATATGGCAGATGATAGAATAATATTATGTTTCATTTTAGTTAATATAATATATATTATAAGGCATTCTAACCAGGATCATTTGCATAATTTTGAACATCATTTTTAGATTTGAAGTTTTAATATGGTATTTTCTCTGAAGCACCAGATAGTGGTATTACTCAAATAAACTTGCACATGTATAATATTACACACACTCTATTATTAATATCAAAACTCTTATCACTCCAAATAAATAGATACTCCTACACATCTCTTAGAATGGCCATAATCTTGAACACTGACAACAACAAATGTTGGTAAGAATAAGGAGCAACAGGAACTCTCATTAATGAAAAGAACAAAAATCTGTATATCTACTTGGTCAGTTTCTTAAAAACTAAACCAAATCTTACCCTATGATCCAGAAGTCATACGCCTCTGTGTTTACCCAAAGAGGTTGAAAATTTATGGCCATACAAACCGTGTAAACTGATATTTATAGCACCTTTATTCTCAATTGTCAAAACATGGAAGCAACAAAGGCTTCTTCGTATATGGAGATAAACTTCAGTGCTTCTAGTTCATATAATATTATTCAGCTGTAAAATAAATGAGGTAGCAAGCCATGAAAAGATGAAGAAGAAGGCTAAGTGCATATTATGAATCTGAATAGTGGCTGTATAGTATGATTTCAATTGTAAAGTCTCCATACTTTATGAGTCCATTTCTCTATAATGTTTCTGGAGAAGGCAAAACTGGACCTACAAAAAAGATAAGTGTTTGTTAGGGACTGAACAAATAGGTGAAGTGCCAAGAGTATTGAGGGCAGTAAAAATTCTTTGTATGATACTATAATGGTGTATATTGTTCATTAAACACTTGTCCAAACCACAGAATATGTAACACCAAAATTAAAACATAAAGTAAACGATTGATTTGAGGTGGATATGATATGTAATCCAGTTTCATCAACTGTCTCAAAAGTAGCACTGTAACATGGGATGAGGTTAATGGAGGAGGCTATGTACATGTAGGAGCAGAAGGTACATGGGTGGAATCTTTTAAGTTCCCCTCAATTTTTCTGTGAACCTAAAGTAACTTTAAAAAATAATCTTAAATAAATAAATTGCTATCTCTAAATTTACAGACCTCCTCCAGTAAGTGAACTTGCAGCCAGGGGGACCACAGTTGGTGTAATTTCTGCTGCAGCCATCAATCAATCAAAGTATTGTGTACTCCATTGTTTCAGGAAATGAAGAAGGTGAGTTGATTTTTAGCTTGTGTTTTCACAAGAAACCAATGAAATTGCCAGTGACTCACTATTACTAGACACTGTTGCCCCTAGAGCCAGTGCTCAACATCTTACTTTCCTCATTGCATTTCTTTTTTTTTTTTTGCTAATATGATGCCATTATGCCTCCTGCCTAGATAAAAAATTAGCTTCCTATTTATTTATTTTTACATTTATTTATTGGACTTCCAGCATCTAACTAAAGCTATAGTCCTTCTATTGGTTACAACACTTTTCCTCTCAACTTCCATCTGTTTTTTTCCCTTGAAGATAGCAATGTGATTCTATTTATTATCATCTATCCCTCGAAGTTACTGTTTTACATTTAATTCATTTGTTATTTCATTCAACAAATATTTATTATACATCTATTATGGACTAATTTTTCTTTCAGCCTCTAGGGATAGAACAGTAAACAAAATAGATCCCTACACTCATAGGATTTAACAGTCCAATGAGAGGTGATGGATAATAAAAATTATCAAATGTATAAATATGTAATATTTTAGACGGTCATAAATGATACAGAGAAAAGTGAGGAAAGCATATGGAGAATCCAAAAGGTGCAGCATTATAAACTGAAAAATGTTCTGTGTTTTTCACTTTAAAAAATATATTTATATATTTGCATATATACAAATTTATAAAATATAGAAATCAGATGAAAATATTTAAGATAATTAGAATCATAAGTAATTTGAAAATATAACCTACATATTAAATAACCCATTTGTTCTTTAAGAAGTTCTTAGCAGACCACTAATCCATAGAGTAAGATCCATTAAATTATTGAAAGTATAGTTATTAGGAAAACCAGAAAATATTTGGTGAAGCAAAATTAAATTTTAGATACGTCTTTTTAAAAGACGTATCTAAAATGTTTTACTATTGTAGAAGACCATCTGAACCTGTGGTGGTGAGTAGCGTATTATACACCACTTATCAAGCATAAAGACCACAGAAGCGTTGATATCCAGAAGAATCTCAAAACAACACACATAATTAATTATAATTTCAAGGTATCATTTGGGGAAATACTGATGTCTATTATTTCCAGGGCTGGAATATAGTTTCCAAAGCTGGTGCCTTATCACTTTCATACTTCACACTTTATAATTGCTACAATTAAGTGTTTTTGAAACCATACTAACTTTTAAAGAGAATTATTCCCTTGCAAATGTGAAGGAAATGACTAGTAACTGTATTTTAAATTCTAGGTAAGTTTGGAATCAGTAACATCACAGGTGTCATCTATGCGAATGCCCCCCTGGATTACGAAACAAGAACAAGTTATGTGCTTCGAGTCCAAGCCGATTCCCTGGAAGTGGTCCTCTCCAATCTCCGAGTTCCTTCAAAAAGTGAGTTATATTACTTAAGAGCTTGACAAGAATTTTATAGTGTTTCTGCTGATATTCTAGTTAAATATATATGTAAATAAATTTCTCAGTGGAGAACAAAGGAATATCATTAATACCTGGAAATGATTATCATTCATTTTAATAGCTAGTATATGGCAATTCTGTGAGAGGTTTCATACTCTTGAAATGTCAAGGCAGTAAAATAGTGTTGTCAAACTATGTATGTGATATTGTTAAAATACCATTATTATCAGTATATTTTAAATAATAAACCTTTTTCTTAATTCATGGGAGAGACCCTGGATAAGCATATAAAACATAAACTATAATGGATGTGTATTTACTAGACATTGCCTGAACCATGTGGCTTCTTTTGTTTTAATATTTTTTAGTTGTCAATGAACCTTTCTTTTATTTACTTATATGTGGTGCTAAGAATCAAACCCAGTGCCTCATACATACTAGGGAAGAGCTCCATGACTGAGCCACAACCCCAGCCCCACCAGGTGGTTTCTTGTACTTACATATTTCCTTAAAGCAAAGGGAAAAACATTTTTAAATCGGTGACTAACAATAATCACAAATTACATGTAACATCATATTTAATCCACACCCATCTCTATAAAATGAAAAAATTTTAACCCCATCTTGCAAACACAAGAAAGTTTCAGTGGAACTTTAAAAAAAATGACAGTAAATGAAGAGTTGGAGTTTAAGACTGCTTTGTGAAGCTAAAATCTTTTCTCAACATTTCAGTGAAATATAGTTGACCCACACAGTAAACCAAGTGAAAGTCTATTTGTGAAAGGCACTGACACAAAATTTAAAAGATGTTGCAAATAATTGGATAAAGGTAATTTTTTTATTTATTATAAACCTTATTTATTGAACAAGTTGAGGGAACTGTATAGTTGCTTGTGAAAGTACTATCTGATCATTTGAAAAAAAAAAGCTTATATACAATGTGTCTTTGAAATTAAAGGATTCAAATTGTTTTCAGTCAGAATGCATACTGGCAGAATTAAATTCCTTCAAAATAACAGACCACATTTTTTAAGCTTTAAAATCATTAAAATGCATAATTTTTTAAATATAAATACAGAGGATGCTTCAGCTTGTAAATTGAATTGTTTAAACAAGTTGACAAAATGTTAGGGTAGCTCTAAATTATATAACATTGCACATACAAATAAATGGAAAAGATTAGTTGAAAATTTTGTAATGTTCCTTTGAAATAGTTGAAAAGCTTTAGAAAAAAATTTTGTTGAATATTTAGGTTGTAGAATGTGGCATTTCTTGAGAAAAACCTGTGATTTTTAGGAATAGAGATATAGGAAGTTCTTATAGTTAAATATAACAAAACTAGCTCCCATTACTGTAATTTAAATATAATTGTAAGGCTAATGAAAGTTTACCTAACGTACACATGTATATTTGTATGTGCCTCTGTATGCATAGAGGTGAGATCAATTAGCACATTCAGAATTATCCTTTCAGAAATGCATGAAGTCTATAAAGCTAAATGTTAGTTTGTTTAATGCCTGATGCTCTGAATTTTGTTAACATCCCATAACTGACTTTTGCCCCTAAAACTTGAAATACAAACTCATATTTTTCAAACATAGTTTCATTTACTAATAACTGTTAATGGCCTGCAATCAATCCCTAGCCCATTAGCTATGCAAATACTAAGACCATTATGTAAATTGAGGTTAATTAATTAGTTTTCTGAAGGTTCTTCTATGCTTCAGAATTAGCTACCCTATGGTCTTTAGCTCTACCATGATTAAGTGCCCCTGAGTTCAATCCCCAGTACCAAAAAGAAAAAAAAATTAAAGAAGCAACATCTAGATATAGAAAAAATTTCAAAAATGCTACTGCACAGTCAATAATCAATCATATTTTCAAATATTGGTCATTATTTTCTGTGCAAAATAGGGATGATTAAGCTAGGGCTTTGACCATTAACTTTTATTTTGTGTATTAATGGATGACTATTCTGTATATAATAACAATAACTATTCTGTATATAATAATAACAATTTATTTGCCTTGATTATTTTTCTGATAGTTGTGAAAAGCTATTTACTTATTTTAGTCATAAAATTCATTTTAATACATAAGTAAGATAAAGCAAGCAATAAATAAAATGAAATTTATTGAAATACAACAATTAAAATAAATGAAAATGTCTACCTAGGAGTAAGGTGCAATTATTCCTTATTGTATCATTTAGGGAACAAAAGAAAGATAAGTAAAATTTAATAAATTTTCTAATATCCCTCAACCAATCTCCAGTTGTCAGAATTCAAAATTATATCAACCTTAGTTCAAGCTAGTTTCTTGTAACTTATACATTATATTGCTTCCCAGGAGAATTGAGAAGTAGAATCTTGGCACATAGTAACAGGTAGTGTTAATTTTCTTCAAAAAAAATCAAAAGGTAATTAGCAAGCCTACTGATTGGTTTTTAAGTTAAGGTAAGCTTTATTAATTGTGACCTTCTATTAAGATAATATTTTGTCAGCTTTTTTACTATTGTGACCAAAAGACCTGACAAAAACAATCTTAGAGGAATAAAAATTGATTTGTGGCTCACAGTTTCAAAATTCTCCATCCATAGATGACCAAAAAGTTAGTGCCAAAGTTCTCCACTGTTTTGGACTGAAGGTGAGGCAGAATATCACAGCAAAAGAAGAAAAGCAGGTCAGGACATGGCAACAAGAAAGCAGAGAGTGCTCCACTCACCAGGGACAAAATGTAGACCCCAAAGGCATGCCGCCAGTGACCTGTTGTCTCCTCCAGCTACAACCTAATTGCCTACGGTTACCACACAGTTAATCCATTCAAGTGGATTAATGCACTGATTAGGTTAAGGTTCTCATAACCCAGTCATTTCAGAATCTTCATTGTCCTACACCTCATATCTAAACCACAACAGATAGCAAGTAAGATCTGATTGTAAAAATATCTTTTCAAATAAATAATTTTTCATTTGTTGCAGATTATTTAAACTTTAACAATATCTTCATATGACACAAATATAGAAAAAGATAAATAATCATGAAGATTAATTTAAAAAATCTCAATTATGAAGATATTTTCTAGAAGCTAAAGTAGTAAGAATCCCTTTGTCTATAAATCACAAATATGAAAAACTCAGTGTCAGAAAAGAATGAATTACAGTGTGGATTTCATGTCCATTCAAACCAAAAAGATCTTGAATAATGCATTTGTGAATTATTAAAAATGTCAGATTTAAGGAATTTATAGAGTAGAAGAAAGTATGTTGAAAAAGCAGTTTTTACATTCCAACTGTTTATTTTCTAAATAAGCAGAAAATGGTGATGAGGGATTTTAGCAGAATGACACTGTTGATAGGAAAAAAGTCACATTGATGGTCAGAGGATGCAAATCTTCTCAGTGGCAAAGGCTATAGAGAAGTTAAAGTGTGGCAATGCAGACATTAGGTACACTCTATCTAGACAGAGGCTTCTGAGAGCTTGTGGTTTCCTGCTCTGTGCCTTTTCACCTGGGTCTGATGGAGAGCATTCCCTGTACCTTTGTAAGTGTTAGTGTGTGTTCCCCCAAGTAGCTTCTCTTCAACTTACAGATGTGAACACTGCATTATAGAAACAGTAAGTCACCTTTCTAAATTTTACAGCTGGTCAGTAGAGAAGCCAGGATCTGCAGCCAATCACTTGAATAATTTTCTGTGTCTGCTCCTTTCTCTTTTTGAGGCGTTATATTCCACTCCACTAGACTGCAGATGTCTTCTCTCACTAACATTGCTTTAAGACCAGGTATCCATTAAAGTCTTTAGTTTTTTCTGATTGTTTGCTTGTTTGTACGCTATTTATCATTAAAATGCCAAGTGCCCTAAGACAACCATTACACTTAATTCTGAAATGCTCATCAGCATGGGTTTCTCAGTACTTGTGGATCATGTCACTGTAAGCTAGTGGGGTATTGGGTTATTTTAAACCGATTTCTAATTTTTTCCCTAGTTATGCACAAAATATATTATAAACAGTGCCAGTCTGAAATAAGGGTCTCACAAAATACTAATTGCAATTCACTTTTGTCATGTTTGAAGAAGCAAGGAAGTATTCAAACCCCTCCCATTGTTTCAAGTGAGAGAGGTGTTTCCTAAAGAGATCTTAAGGTTGTATCCCTTCACATTTTGCCATAGCATCTGACTTTTCACGGTTTGTACTTTCAACAAAGTGAATGTGTATAGGTAACTAATGGTACCTTGATTTCTTGACTATTACCTTGTGATTGAATTACTGTTTGTGTGGTGTAGCAGTTAAAAACACATTATTTTGTCATCACTTGTCTTTGTGCCTGTTTTCCCTACTAGAATTCAGATTTCATTTAGGTAGGTGTTATGCTTCTACCTTCAAACTGACTTTTGTTTATGATTTTTTATTTGTTCATTAATTTTTACTTAAAGTCACTCCTTTTGATAAATTACTGGTTTTTGAGTTAGCAAAATATACTTTACATAAAATGTTTTGAAGCAAAATTACAGCACAAAGAGTAACATTACCCTTGACCTTTCTGGTATTTCACTTCTTGTTAAAAATGAGGAATTTAGATTTGCTAATATTTTTGTCTTTATGAAAGAAAGTCCCATCCCTTTTTTCTATCACCCTATTTTTGTGAATGGAAATGCTTACTCTATTCCATTATATACTGGATATTTGTAAATAGGTTTTGATTTTTATAGGAGCTCAAGATATGGGCTTGCCCTGAGTCTCAGAGGAGACTTTATAGTTGAAATTTGGGCAATCCTCTAACTGTTGAGACTATGGGAAATTTTGGAAATGAACCAAATGTACTTTGCATTGTAAGATGGTCATAAGCTTCACAAGCTTTTGGGGACCAGGATGGAATGTTATGGTTTGGGTATGAGATGTCCCCAAAACCTCATATGTGAGACAATGCAAGAAAGTTTAGAGGCAAAATAATTGAGTTATGAGAGCCTTAACCCAATC